AGATTCACTTCCTATAATATATTTTTTAAAAGAATAAAAGAAGAAAGAAACACAACACAACACTATCACTATGTCTTGATGTATATATACATACCCCTGAGGGAGGATAATACTGCAAGTTCTGACCCATGACACGTTGAGTTGCAGTCGGCCAACCTAGATGTGAGGTGGGAACTTGAATGAAGTTTGCAGTAAAAAGGTCCTGCAAACATAAGTATGTATTTCATTAAAGAAAATCACAAGTAATGAATGAATAAAATTTTAACTCCTTACCAGAGGAAGTTCCTTTCTTTCCCCAGAACTCTTTTCCGAAGATGGAGGTTCGGATCCAACTCTATTGATGGTACCCTGAGCAGGTTTTGAATCCGCATCTACCTTTTCACCTGAAACACTTGAATGTCCTTGTGCATTTGGTTTCGATGAAGAAGTCCCCTACAGAAAATAAACGTGTGCAGCCGCAAAAGAAGCAATACGTTGAGAAAATTTAAGGCAGAATTGAGCTTAATTTCATCAGATTGGAAACTCACATCAGGTCACTCACTTCAAAATTTGGAACAACAACTGGAGTCGTCATCTGTGAAATCAAACCAGTATCTGCAGAAGAATGATCAGAAGTCTGTTGTTGCTGCGTGCTTGGAAGCTGTTGTCCATTACTAACTTTTAGTGCAATATCACCACCCTTATTGGTTGTGAGTTGCGGAGGACTTGCATTAGAAGTTTGCAATGGTAAATTTTCATTAGACCCAGCTACAGAAGAATCAATGCTGATTGGTAGTGCTGTCTGCCCCACAGTGAGCTCTGGTGTAAGAGTACTTCCAGAAACAGTTGCTGGAGCATGAGCATTTCCAGGTCCATCAGTCGGATTATTATCAGCTCCAGTTGATGGTAGTGATAATTCAAGAATCAAAGCTTCCAAAGTATTTGCACTGGTGGATTTTGGTGCCTTCGTCGTTGAAGATGGCTCAAGGGCTTTCCAGTTTTCATTATTAGATGAAGGCATCGATTGGGTCCGTGATACGGCAGCAACATCAGAAGGCTCAGAACTGATACTAAGATCAATTAAGTTCGCTGCATTGTCTCGTTTAGTTTCCACGGGATTAGCACGAACAACATTCTGGTAGCAGAACAATGTAACATAAAGGAAGAAGTAAGTTTGAAAACTTGAGTGTAAGCTAACACTAACAGGTGAGTTTCTGCATAAAAAGATATAGAACAATAATATACAATATCTCTGCAAAAAAATGATATCAAGAACTAATAATACACTAAGGAAGAATGAACAAGAACACTCAAGTATCCAGCATTTTATCATCTACAAACCTGATCAGAGCCACCAGCTTCCACCCCTTTATTGGTTCTAACGTCCTCCTCAACTTTTGGGGTAGGTTCATTTTTGGCCGTCGTAACTTTTTTATCACATGACACTTCAGGAGAAGACTTCTCTAGATTTTCTTGGGTGCGACTTAACTGGATAGTTGGCTTGGAATCTTCATTTGAGAGCTTGCGATTTCCAAGTCTGTCATCTCTGATCCTGTCATCTACAACCTCAATGCGTGTGAGGCTTCTTCTATAGCCTCCATATCTGGAGTTTTCTTTTGAATACCGAGGACTGCTTCTCTCATCATAGTAATAAATTGGACTCCTGAGTTCCCTCTTTGAACTAGATCTTGGAATTTCATCTTGCTGGGGCTGTAATCCACCATAATATGAAGGAACCTTTCTCCTTTCTTGGGATGATTCATTAGTCTGTATTATATGAAACATTATGTCAACATGTATAACCGATTTTACTCGGAGTTTCCAGCATATAGAATTATTTGACGCGTTGGTTTAGCTAAAAAATGCTAATAGCGAAGGGAACTTTCCTCAAAAGTAAAATGTCAAGATGAAAGTAAGAAATAAACAAGAGGACTGCATACACTTGAAAGCAATCTCTTTATCAATGAGCTCGATGGAAGCAAAAGAATTTCAAATTCATGAATGCAGAGCACAGCAACAAGCTAAATGAAAGTTAAAAATGAGTATACACATTGGAAGAGCTTACAAGTTTCAACCTCGGGATCTCATCAACAGCCCTCTCACCCGAGTATTTCCTATCAACATAGACATGCTTGATGAACTCCCGGAGCCGATGGAGATTACTGCTTGAAATCATAGAAATTTAGAGGAAATTCTGTGCCAATTACTGCAGGTCCAAATATATAGTAAGTTTAATAACCTGTTTTCTGGATAAGAATGTCTATGGGGATCCCAAGCTTTCAAATATATTTGCCGCGCTCTCTATGTAATGACAGTTTAAAGTTAGCAATGGATGAGAAAGAACATGTAAACCTCAAAGGAACTGCATCTGACCTCATTTCCCGCTGCTTGAAGAGCAGTCACCTCTTCTGGCTTGAATTTTGCCATTGACACTGACTTTACTCGGTGAGTAAATTCACGACTGGAAAAATCATGAAATTGAACCAAGATAAGCAATTGCGAAATATCTCTATTGATCTAATTTCCAAAAATATATTTTCAAATCCAATTAAGATGCTGAGAATTTCCGTATATGCAGATAATTAAACAATCATTTCAATACTTACTGTACTCCACTACAATTTGTACAGACAAATGTCAAGAATGTTGTACATACGTATTGCGGTCCCTGTTGAAGGATGCATGTAAATGTCAAGAACTATAAATGGTATAGATAAAGTTTATAACAATGGACAGAAGGAAGGTATATGAGTGTTATCAAATGTCTGTATCAATTTATTATCAGGAACCAACTCATGTTAGGAATTAAAGGTTTACAACGTTGGATAAGGTTAGAACTACGAATCTCCACAATAATATAATATAATAGTGTCCACTTTGAGTATAAGCTCTCATGACTTTGCTTTTAGTTTCCCCAAAAAGTCTCATACCAATGGAGATGTATTCCTTACTTGTAAATCCATGATAATGAATCTTCCCAATAATCCTCAACAATCCTCCCCTCGAACAAAGTACACTATAGAGCCTCCCCTAAGGTTTATGTAGCCCTCGAATAGTCTCTCCTTAATTAAGACTCGACTCCTTTCTCTGGAACTCTTGAAGAAAGTACACCCTTTGTTTGACATATGAGTCACTTTTGACAACACCTTTGAGACTAGCAATTTCTTTGTTGACACGTGAGAAATCTATTGACATGGCTAAATTAAGGGCATGACTCTAATACTATTTTAGAAACTACGAATCTCTATAATAATATTATATTGTCCACTTTGAGCATAAGCTCTCATGGCTTTACTTTTGGTTTCTCCAAAAGGCCTCCTACTAATGGAGCTGAAACTTATGATCATTCCCTAAATTAGGGAATATGGGACTCCCTTCCAACCGTCCTCAACACAGACCACATATCAGAGTCCCAATATCCCAATAGACTCAGAATGATAAAAAGTACAGGTTATATTTTATTAATCTCCTAATTTCTGGTTCCTCTAGCGAACAGAAAAACAGGTAAGGAATTCTCATACCAGACTATTGCAGTTAATACATCTTCGGTTCTCGGGAAGTTTCAAAAGATTACGTATGCTCCTTTCAATCTTCTCTTCTTCCTTGACGCGACTTGCCATAATTCAAACTTCAAATATTCTTCATCAAAAAATCGAAAAGGAAAAACGTCACTTCCAACAAAGCATGTAATCAAGAGCAATTAAATCGATTTGAGTACAGGAAAAACAATCTTTCTAAATGAGAGAAAAACAAATTCTAGATTGCTGTAACAATCAGAACAAAACATCATCCAAACACACTCGAACGGTTCATTATACAAAATTTCACTTCTCTCCTCGATTAATGCCTCGTACAGAAATGCGATTTGAGAAGAACGTACCTGAACGACGATGCAAATTAAGAACGAAATGGCATGAGGATGTGCGCAAAAGGAACCTCGGCGAACGTCGCAATTGCGAAAGAGAATAAGAACAGAGAAACAAGCCGAATCGCAAAGAATAGCAGGGACAAGGATCGAAGGGATTAGGTTTAGACATGTATACGAGAAAGTAGGTTGGAGCTTCAATGGCGGGAAAGCGAAGCGGAGAGAGAGGGGGGAAAGGCCGTTATAAACGGTTGGTTAATAATTTTTTTGGCCCCATAAACAAATTGTAACTTAGGTCTAATTACATAATTATCCTCTCGCAATAAAATATTTACAAAAGTATACCATCATTTTCAAAATTTTAAAATTTCATTACTCAAACGTGTTTCGATTTGGAGATAAAGACATCTTGATTTGACTTCAGAGCAGATAATGTTGACTTATTTAAGAGTTTGATAAACTTGAACGAAAGAGTAAATGTCGATTAAGAGATTAAAAAAAAAACGTTTTGATTTGACTTTAGAACAAATAATGTTGACTTGTTTGAGAGTTCGTTATTTAAGAGTTTGATAAACTTGAACGAAGGAGTAAATGTCGATTAAGAGATTAAAAAAAAATGTTTTGATTTGACTTTAGAACAAATAATGTTGACTTGTTTGAAAGTTCGATAAACACGAACAAATGAGTAAATGTCGGATTTAGAGATAAAAAGACATTTTGATTTGACTTTATAATGTTGACTTATTTGAGAGTTTGATAAACTTGAATGAAGGAGTAAATGTAAGAGATTAAAAAAAAAATAATGTTTGCTTCTTTGAGAGTTTGATAAACTCGAGCAAATAAGTAAATGTCGGGTTTAGAGATAAAAAAGACATTTTGATTTGACTTTAGAACAAATAATGTTACTTGTTTATGAGTAAATGTCGGGTTGAGAGATAAAAAAGGCATTTTGATTTGACTTCAAAACAGATAATGTTGACTTATTTGAGAGTTTGATAAACTCGAGCAAAGGAGTAAATGTCAAATTTAGAGATAAAGAAAACGTTTCGATTTGACTTTAGACTAAAAGACGTTGACTATCACCAAATATAGATAAATTTCGAAAAATAAAAAGACGAAAAACTAAATAATTATTTAAGAAAAAAATCAATATATATTACATAACTATAAACCAAGTTGCAATTCAAGATATGATCAATAATTTACAATCAACAATTGTTTGTGTAGACCTCAAAAATTGTGGCATAATCAGTAGAGTTTCTATATACACAGGAAATATGCAATGGCATTGAACACATGATGTATTCTTTAATCTAAGATTCTCATTTCATGGATGGAACACTTTTGAAGCTGAGGGTTAAAAACTGTACAAATAATGTCTTACCCCCAAAATCTGATCACTAACAATCATGTTGGCTTACAAAAAGCCTTCCTTGTGGGACGGTGAGGCTGTAGCAATGAATTCTCGTCACTGATCGCTCGAGTTTGTCGGGCCAGACGTTCGATATTGAATCTGCACAATATCGAGGGGGCAGGGCAGTACCCATTGCTAATGAAGTCGTCGAACCTAATCCGCTTGCCATGTGGGTGGATATATCGGTGAGCTCGAGCAATGGGAGACGTTGGGGTAGTCGGGATTCGGTTTTCTTCACTTTTCTATCCATCGCCGTTAGGGTTGTCCTCGAAGGCAGCTTTCATTGCTTCAGCAGTCATGATAGCAACCACTGCCTTATGAATTGCGAGGTCTGCTCTGATTAGTAATCGTCTGGCCTTTTCTCTCTTGAACTTGGCGACGTTGCGTGCTTCCTGAGCAGCACCAGATACATCACGGAACCTGTACTCGTCGAGGTCGGAACCTTCCAACTGTTCGAGAATTTGCCTTTGTGATCCATCGAACCGATAACGTAGCGGGCTTGACCACTCGGAATAACCATTGTTCCACCTATTTAACCCATCTCTCTTTCCAACCATTCTCTGATTGAAAGAAGATGCCATCATAGGTTCATATGGAGAAGCCCCATATTTTCTGGACTTGGTCTTGTGAAGTTTTGGTAGAACATTCCTCTCGAACCCATCGTTACTCAAAATGCCACCTTCGAGTCGTGGCGAAAATAAGCTGGATGATGTGTGAATCAAAGGAGAATCTTCCAAAAACTCATAGTTATGGCCTAAATAGACCATCCTATCATCCCCAAGGGCAGACCCATTCAATCTTCTAACTGAAACAACAAAACAATTCAAATTGTAAAGCCTAAGTCAAGAGAGTTCGTTAGAAGTTCGTCGTAAAATCGCTCGGGATAAACAACGAAAACTAGATGAATCAGGTAAAAGTGGACAGTAGAATTTACCAAAACCATGCAATCCATCCTGATCATAGGTGATGGAATTGCTATGACCAGCCATTGAAAACTTCCTATGCGACCGTTGCTTAGAGCCTTTATTGGAAACTTCCAGGCCTCGGGGTTTCAAACAGAAAGCAAACATGGGCGGTTTCTCGATTGATGCCGACTCGTGACATCCGTTGCAGGAATTGGTGTTGTTTTTGTTGACTGTAGACTCCCAATCTTTTAGTTGCTGTTGGTAGGTTTCCCAAAGAGGCGGCTGAAAAAATAAACGATTATTGTAAATAGTTGTTTTCGTGTATTTTTTATTTATATCGACGCAGCAGCACGAGCAAGGAAGGTGCAGAAAAGGCAGAGAACTCATAATATGCATGAATGTGAAGAGACCTAAAAGCTACCTGAAGATGTCGAAGTAAAGGCATTCCCTTCTGTCGCCTTTTCAGCTGCCAATACTCAAAGATCCCTTTCGTCAAACCCGACACCAGAGTTTCATTCACTGCCTCTGCAATCTCGTCATCTGTGAACTCATCACGCTGCTGAGAGTATGCAGCCTTCTCAAAAGCATCCATCGTTTTCACAAACACCTCACTCGACACCTCTCCCAAGCTGCTACTAGAGCCAACTTCTGAAGAAGTTTGAATATCCTTGATCCACTGCTCGTCATCACTATCCATGTCATACAAGACACGATTTGGATTCAAAGCCATTTCAACATCTGTTTCTACCTGCCGGAAGTACTTGGAAGGATTTCGCATAAATGCAGTTTCTGCTACATGTTCATCATTTTCTTCTATCAAGCGAACGCCAGGAATTGGAATATTCTTAACGGACGCTGCTCTAACGTTTCGATTGTAACACTCCTCATGCAACTCCTTGAATATCGTCCACTGGCTTCGATCTGGAAACTCCAAGATCCAATCCTTTCCTCCTTTCCACATCATAGCATGTGTATACCGATTCGTAGATCCGGGTTGCAAAAATTGATGAGCCTTGTAAGAATATTTGGTAATTCCTGAAAGTTTCACAGCAAGTTTCCACTCATCATGGTCAAAGACCTCTAATACCACTCTTGCCCCACATTCTCTCCATCCTCTATCACCAGTTGTAATCAACACATTTGCATCACATGATAGCAATTCTAAGTTTCTTTGGGAACCTCTAGCTGCATCCGACCGCTTCTCACTAGCCCTTCTGATTCGCTTGTAAGGAGTTGCTTTAGGATGAGAGTTTCTGTTCTTTGAGCCATAATCTAAACCTCCAAAAGGTAACATGTAAGAAACCTGAGTTCGTGGTTTCTTAGTTCTATTTCCCAAACCGTTCAGAAAATCCTTTCCGTCCGACCATCCATGTGAGGCCAATCCAAATGACGATGAGTTATTCTTATTTCGATGCCATGTGCTTCGAGGTGCAGTGGGGTTAGGGCTGCGAATGATGCCAGAATTCACATTCCATGCTACATCCATAGATAGCTGAGCATTGTGCAACTCCCCATCCACAGGCTGAAATGATGGAATCTCAACACTAAGGTCATTCAAAAATGAATCAGAACCATTATCAGATCTTGCCACATTAGGTAAAGCCATTGCTTTCGCTGATTTGTCATTTCCCAAAGATCGCATCCGCTTCTTTACATCATTTCTAGCCTTGTCCGAATCCTGAGACCCTGCACACGTTTCAGCAACAAGACGACTTCTTTTATACCGGGAGGAACCTCCCACCTCACAGTCAGAGAGACCAGTCCCTAAATCTGACTGAGCACACAAGTTCCATCTATCTAATGCCTTTGACGAGGTACTAAGACTATTGGCACAGTCATTCATACACACGTTGTCCACAGTCAACCTACCAAAATTTTCTGCACGCTTGCCTGAATCCTGATGTAGCGAACTTAAATGAGCCACACACTGTTTCATAAGCAGCTTGAGATGCAAACTCAGCATAAAGGAAGGTGCAGCAGTAAAAGAAAGAGCAAAAGCAGGAAATTTTTTGTTGGTTTCATTAGAACACAAATTAGAATGACCATTGTTCTCGCTTGCATCTCCTTCGTGGTTGATACCAAGACTACTAATCTTCTGTGTGCCCTGATTAAAGAAGAAACACTGAAGAAGTTACTACAAGATGAAATATCTAGCGTCGAATAATACAGAGGAATCAAAGGTATATTAGAAACCTTGTAACATGCTTGGACAACAATATAGTTGATAGCATAACCAAAAATATAAGAACGTAAAAAAAAATAATGTAGAATAAACAAGTACCTTGACAGAGGAACACTCGCCACAAAACGGAGATGTATGGAACTGACTTGTGCAATTTTGAAACCTTTTGATATTATCGTAGGTGCATTCAGTCAATGGAAGTTGCTTGGTGAGTAAGCAATACTTCTTCAGCCTGCAGTCTAAGTGAAGCCACTTGGAATTTTTTGTTTCTGAAAAGTTATAGAAAGCAAACACAAGCTGCTTTCCGATATCCGGAAGGCACGAGAGTTCGAACCTGATAGAGGTCATGGGAACTTGAAAATCAGCATACCTTACCTGTTTGCTGGGTTGCCGAAACATTTTCATGACCAGGAAAATGAATGCCACTGCCTGCATCAAGCAACCTTCAAACAGGAGAAATCTCAACCCAACCACATTATCTACACAAAACATCTCTAATTGAACCTTTGGCCATGTTAACGTCAATGCACCATGTTGGATGAGCATTGTCAAATGGAATAACCAAAATGTTTCTGCACTTGTAATCATATTCAAGAATAAATATTCTGGGATGGTTAACTCAAACCTCAACTGCCCGACTTCCATCGATGGAATAGCCAACTGTAATAACCCATCATCATCAACACACCATAGCAACCTGGGTGCTTCCGACCTTCTGGGAGAGATATCTGATTCCTCCACATCGTCGATTTCACCAACATTAGAAAAAAATGAAGCAAGAGAATGTGTTCTTATAGAGGCATAACTTGTCTCATGCTTATGAGACATTTCAGTGCCTATGGTGCGGAACCTTTTCCTAAAATATACAATAGGAAATTTGCAAGTCTTTGAACAAGTGGTGATTTCCGAAGTAGACTTCTCTAACCCATCCATATCTCCTAATCTTTCTGGCAATCCTGAATGAGGCCTTTCAATTGCCTGGGACCCCGATTTTAAAGATAGGCTGGAGGTTTTCTGCCTCTTTGAACTATGAGAGGGGCATGATTTATTACGTTGAGTAGATCGAGCCAACCAAGAGATGATTGGCTCAGAATCCATAAAGCTACCAGTATTGCATTCCTCCTTTGGAGCGTTCGTTTCTTTCCCCTTCCTGGATCTTGATTCCCTTTTCTCATTAGCAGGATTATTTCCCATCACCGACTTCCTACGGTCTTCCCTACCAGGAACTTCACTAGGAAGCAGCAACAGTTTGAACCTTTCATTTTGAAGATCAATCCATTCTTCATCGCGATCATCATATTTGACATGATGAAGCTTCCTTTCTTTATCATAGTCATTCACAAGCCCATAGTACCAGATTTGGTCCAGAGGCCAAAAGACTTTGATCCTCCTATTCAATATCCAAACTGCATCCAAGTCTGCTAATAAAATTTCATAAAAATGGCGTCTTTTCCGTGAGCTTTTCTTTTCTTTTCGTTGCTTCCTAGGCCTCAGTACTCTTCCGGCCGAATCAACTGATGCAGATTCCAAATCTGCTAGAGGCTTAAGACCATGACTAACAAACCCATTCGCTGGTGGCAAGGAACCCATCACGTTTGAAGAAAACCCAGAACAAGTTGGATCAAATCTTGATGATAACATTCTAGCAGCATTCTCCTCAAGGTTCTCTTCATCATCTTCCAGGCAGCCATCACGTCGCTTAGTAGAATGTGATATAGATGCCTCACCCTCTTTTGAATTACGTTTTCTCCCAGATGCAGAAATCTTTCTTTTCCCAAAATTCTTTTGTGATTTTTTGACTGACAGACTGACAGGTTTTACAACCGAATGATCAATATGTTCACCTTCCTCCTTCAAATGCAAAGTGGAGCTCGATTGATTTTCTCTAACTAATGGATCAGCATGCCCATCTCCTCTCTTCGGATGCTGAGTTGAGCTCAACTCACTTTGCTCTTTCTCCTTTAAATTTTTAAACCCTGGCTTTCTATTAGTCTTACAGCACGCCACCAGATCACTTGGATCTTTGGCACTAGATTTAGCAATCTGATCAACAATAACAGCTTTACCATCCAATTGCCCAGATGGTTTCAAAATCTGACCACCAAGAATTTTTTTCCTCCTAACAAATCCACCTCTCTTACGCTTTGGAATTTGCATAACATCATCATTCAAAATAAGTGAAACTTTGTTAAACTCACTACTGCTATTTAACTTCTCCTTTGACTCTGACTTCAAGGCCTTTTTTGAATCATGCCCACTTGAACCTAGTTCATCATCATAAACTTCATGCAAACTCTTCCTGCTCCTACTATAAATACTACTGAAATTACTGAGGGACACTTTTTTCCTATTTCTCCTCTCGTTCCTCTGCTCACCACCATTCTCAGCCCGAACCTTTCTCTTTAAGTTCTCATTCTGAACCGCTTTAGACACTTTTGTTTCGTATAAACTCTTGAGATCCAAAGATCTCGATTTCTTTGGTGTATCAGTACCATGTGAGTATTCTAAACTATTTTCCATCGACTTCCCCAAACGAAAACTCCCAATCCAGAAACCCCCAATTTTCATGTTCCATCATTGTACATGCATATAAACATTTCTCAGATCTGTGTCACCCAAACCACGCCAAAAAATTGACAAAACGAAAATCATCGTCAAACGTACTCGCAAGGCGATCACATCCAATTATCCATGCATTCATAGTAATCTCCGATGGATTCGGATAAACCAAAACTTATGAACAAATTTAAAAGACAATGAAAAATCGCATACCTACCTCGATTGATTGAACCGCGAAAAAAAAAAATCCCTTTGTCTACGAACCGTGCCGATCATAAACCCGACAGGTAAATTAGGGCTTGAATCCGGGCTATCTCATTCGAAACCCTAATAGATTCCACAATTTCCCCAATCAATTTTGGCAATTTTTGAATTTTTGCCCTAATTTTTTTAATTTTAACCGTGAAAAACGGACGGACCTAGGGTTTCTTTTTGATTTCCCGAAGAAGGGTTAGACATCGAAAATTAATAAAAATGAAATAGAAAATAAAGGTAATAAATATGAAGAAAATATATATAATATATATTGAAAATGTGAAGTATTCTGGATTCGCCAGGTGTCGTGATATTGACCGTTGGATTAGAATGTTATGGACGCTATCTCGTTATCCTGCTTCCGTGCCTTCGATGATTTAATGCAGCTCGCAATTCCGCCGGTCATCATGGAGAACATCAACGGCCAAGATACATCCTCCAAACTTGGACGGTCGAGATTCAAAGTCATTGTGAGTTCAAAGAATGCACGACTTCAGTGAAGTTTTCGTTTAACCCATTTTCAAAAGTTTCCGTTTAAAGTAAAAAAAACAACAAATAAGCTATTTCCTCTAAGGGAAACTAGTTTGCCCTTGATTTTCAAAATTATTTCGAAAATACCACGAAGATTTTAGCTCAGAGGCGCCTGAAATTCCAATCGCTAAATGTAATACTCGCGTTGAGCTATTGCAACGTGGACAAGTTTTATTCCGGTCGCACTTCGAGATAGCACGTGTTTCGTACGCGCTTTAGGCGGTTGTGGTGGTAGTTTTTAACTTCAGAAATAACTGTACAAAGTGCAGACGGTGAATTTGCCATAATTAATTAATTGTCGAATAAATTATTTTTCGTGCACTTTTTTTATCTTAAAATTTTTTATTTTAATATTTATATATCTTGTTAATTTGATTTACATATATATATATATTACAATTGAACTAAAAAAGAATAGATCAGTGGAATATTGATGGATACTACGAGATAATTGAATTATAACTATAAACGTCCATTTTGTCTATAAATCCTCGAGGATTATATTATTAAATTATATATATATATATATTTCAAATGATTCATTAACATTTTAATTTAATTTCTAATAAATCCATAATATATTTTGAAATTAAATATTATATATCCTATTAGATTTAAAATTAATTTTTCTAATTAGTCAAAATTCTATTACATACATTTTTTTTTTTTTAAGTTTTAGGATATAAAATACAAAATTTAAATTTAAAATAAAAAATAAAAAGAAGTGGCAAACTCCGAACCAACAATGCGCGCCATTTTCTTTAACCAACGGCGCATCTCCCGGCATTCGTCTCCGTTTCTACGAAGTCGTTAAAAAAATTTCCACCGTTGCGTTCACATCCCGCCGGTAAAGTCCAGTCAACTTCACTCCAGCAGTGCCTGATGAGGCGCTCGTTTGTTTGGTTAGCAAGAGATTCGTATGCTGATGGCTGGAACCGGGAATCGTGCGTGTTCGATTGGAACAATTTGACGTCGTATCGATTTCGTGTGAATCTCAACTGCGAAGATCCAGAATCTATTTATTGGAGAAGAAGAAACAGTGGACAATAATGGAGGTATGTTCAGTGTAATCTTTGGCTCAGTCACGAAACGTTTGATTGCCTACTAGAGGAAGCAATTACTTGAAGTATTATTTTCCAAATCCCCCCTAAGATCAAAGGATCATATGGCTATCTAATAATTTGATATTCGTTTCGCGATTTGGCAGTTGTGTCTCTTTGTGAGTTTGGGAGCGATAGTTTGTGATCGCTAGGTGGACGACGCTTCGACTCGGTTAAACCAGCAAGAAAAGTTGGCTTAGTCCGGTTTGTATTCAGTGACAAGACTGTGGTTATGTTTATGTTACGGAGTTCGGCTGCAGGAGTGGTGAATTAGTAAAAGCTTACTTGAAGGTATTTAGTTCAAACTCTGCAATTCAGATATGTCGTGCCTAGTAATTCGATTATTCATTGATCCAACATGCGGGGATTATCAAGGATTGAATTTACCACAACCTTGAAATGATTACTTGGATCGTAGATGGAGTATAGAACTGGTCCTAATCTGTATTGGAGTGTGTTAACTGTGTAGTGTGCTGGACTTTTTATAGATCTTTATACCTTGAAGAAAAACTTGAGGACATGCAATGGCTCTTCCTTATTTAATCTCTTTCTATCATGTTGTATGTGAAAAATTATGCAATTGCTTGGCATGTATGACAAAACATTCAGAGAGTTAAATTGTTGGTGGAACACAGGGCTTTGGTTCATGTCTATTCCAAGGAAATGCAGGAGTTGACAGCATTTCCACGATGTATATGATTACTTAGTACAATTTTGCATTTGTTGACCTCCATTTTTTTTTTTTTTTTCCATCTCCAGGAATGATGTTCAGTATTTAGTGCTATGCTACTGGTCATTCAAGCACCGCTGTTGATGACCATTGGTAATGAACAATTTAACAATTTAACGGAGTTAAAAAGAAGTCACTGCCATTGGAGATGTTAGGAATCACGACTCTCCACAATGGTATGATATTGTCCCTTTTGAGCATAAGCTCTCATGGTTTTGCTTTTGATTTTCCCAAAATGCCTCATACCAGTGGAGATGTATTTCTTACTTATAAACTCATAATCAACCTCTTAATTAGCCGATGTGGTACTCCTCTCCCAACAAAAGGGGAGAGGTGAGGACAAGACTTCCTTGCACTTTAGATTGGATTTGATACCGATAAACTTAATATTCTGTTCAGATGACGAAGAACTTGGAAGCTCATTAGAGCGGTTGCTGAACATTATGCATTCCCTGCCAATGAATGGATTAGTTTGGGGAGATGAATATCGATATATAATTGTAAGCTATAATTCGAGGGATGTATGTGATTTATTGTGAGATCCCACATTGGTCAGAAGGAGAACGAAACACTCTCTATAAGGGTGTGGAAACCTCTCCCTAGCAAACACGTTTTAAAAATCTTGAGAGGAAACTCGAAAGGAAAAGTCCAAAGAAGACAATATCTATTAGCGGTGGACTGGGGCCGTTAGAAAATTTTGCATAGAACAGATTTACAGTTATCCGGGCTTTATTTCTGCAGGCTGGAATTTTAGTTTTTAATTATATTATATACGTTTGTCTTAGTTGAAGAATTCTATTCTTGTTCAAAGATGAATCGGTATCAATTTGAATGAAACCAGATGCTTTGGTAGAGACATCAGTTAGCCATTCTTTAACATGGTTGCTGAGCAGAGGTGAAGCACTGAAGCTGTTTGAAATTTATGGGTTCAATTAGCTGCAATCTCAGTCGCTTGGTGAGGAGAACTGTCCTTCCGTTTTACTCTGGTAAGTATTCTACACACTACAACACCATTCTACTAGTTTTTTATGTTCTAGAAATGAAAAGAGTCTATGCTCAAGAGATACAACTCTACTTGGGAGAGAAAATAAGACAACATTATATAGGAAAGATAAAATCATCTCAAATCAAAACAATATCTTAGAAATGAAAAACTAGTACAACACTTAGGAAGATAACACCAAGAAAATGCTTTTAATCTAGCATACTTAGAAACTCCAAACCAATGGAAGAGCTTGGTTTCAAAGATCCTTTAATGTCTGTGAGTGTTCGAGTCAGATTATCTACACTTGAATTTTTATCATCCTAGCGTCGAGTTATTTTTTTGCAGACCTCCCCTACCGTATCGTCACCGCAGTAGAGTTTAACCACCAAGTTCGGGATGGATTGGTGTGGTTCCTCTATGCCTAGAACACCAGAATATCGAACCATGAACGAAGAAAGACATGAGAGAAAAGTATATTGGCTAGTGATTGTGAGGCTCCAATTCTTGACCGGAGGGGTAATCTTAGAGGACAGCCGTCTTACCCTTATCTACACTTTAACTAATCTTAGAGGACAACCGTCTTACCCTTATCTACACTTGAACTAATCTTAGAGGACAATCGTCTTACCCTACTATTACAGACGTGGAAAAATACAACATATTATAATATGAATCAAAAGACATCAATCATACAATATACTTCAATGAAGATGTGAAGAAAAGGTTGTCAAAATTATCAAAAGATGTTTCAATTCATGCCACGTTGAATAAGAATGAAGTTTGATTGTTATAAATTTTGGGTGGATTACATTTTAGAGTAATTTAGAGTTATTGTATTTCATTAATGTATTTTAAAACTTTTTATTTACTTTAAGTTACAATTACATAATGGTTAATTGAGGTTATTAAGTATGAAGATTACCACTCTTGGAATGCCTTTGTTTCATTTTGAGGCTATATAAAGTCATGTATGATGTATTTGTAAGGAGACTTGAAAAATACAGTAAAAGAAGCATTTGTGCTTTCTTTAGCCAATGACTAAGTTTCTTTGTAATTATATGTAGTTAAGGTTGCATGTTGACATCATTTAAGCTCGACATGATCAATCTTGCTTGTGGAGTGATTCGAATCTCAATAAAGTGTTCTTGTCTTGAGATATTTGATCAATAAGAATCATTCAAGCTAGACATGATCGATCTTGCTTGTGGAGTGATTCGAATCTCAAACAATGTTCTTGTTTTGAGATATTCGATCAACAAGGTAATTTGAATCTTATTCTCCTTGTAGTGATTCCTTATCTTATCATATTAAGTTCTAGGTCAACTCATAATCGTTATAATAAGCTACTTACGAACTAAAAAACCCACTTGGAACGACCGGTAGACCAAAGAATTGATTTATTATTTTCCCCATTTTTTTTCATTAAATAAAATTGATTAGTTTATGCATAGAAATACCTTTATTTAGATTGATTTGATGTTGCACATACATATTTGAGAGCTTTTGGTAATATATTTTTTTTGGTGTACAAAATTAATTAATCTTAGTATACGAATAATATTGAAAACAGCTATATTTCTTGGTCTCAAAATCGAACAATTGGATTCATACCTGAAATTAGTCCAATTGGATTCAATTGATTCAAATGCTTCAATTGATTTAAAAAGAAAATTATTAACTTATTTTTTTGTTATTGAAATTTGACAATAAATTTAAATATTAAAAATAAAAAATGCCAAATGAACGTGACAAACCAATATAGACACCAATTTCAAATTTTAGAGAATATTTAGAAATCAAATTCAAAGTTTAATTAATGTCAAAAACTATATATAAACATAATTTAAATCTCAACAACTAAAATGTTAATTTTAATATAAATTCAAAATTCAACACCCAAAGTATATTTAATCATTTTTAAAATAAATGATACCAACAAAAGCTAATTCATTATAAATACAGGATTAAAAAACAAATTAAATACTACAAAGTTTTAAGATAAAATATTTAATTACAAGTTCATAATTTAAATATAAATAAGAATAATTTCTCTTTGACTCTTATATAAGTATTATTTTTCTTAAAAATTCTATATTTTTAAGGAAACGGCGACGTATTGATGATCAAGAAACTTCGACATGGCGATAACACGGGCACCGCCTTCGGCAATTTCAAGAAAAATCAGGATTTTGTAAAATAATAATAATAATAATAAATAAATAAGAATAAAAATTTACCCTAACTGCAAATTCAACAAAATTTAGGCCCTTATTTCGAAAATGCACCCATATAAAGTCTCCTCTTTCTTCTTCCTCTCCCATTACGTTATCGTCTCCTCCGTTTTGCCCTACACCAATCCAATCCCCTCTTTGTTTAACGTAAAATCCACCGGTTTTATCTTCCATTTTTATCACAGAACCGAGCAAATCTTCAATTCTCCTTTCTCTAGTAGTTTTGTTTGTTATCTTTCATCTTTATCTTGTGCAGAGCCCGAAACCCTAATTTTCTGTTCGCCCACCTTTCAATCTGTCGCAAATCTTTGATCTATCAATCCAGAAGTTTGCATCCGTTTTGTTTTTGTTGTTGCCGAGATTTTTTTTGGCGATTTATTGTTTTATATTTGTCTGTAAATCTTCGTCGGACCTAATTGGGCGTTGTATGATTCAATTTCGCTGCTCGGAGATTTGGTTTCGCCAATAAAGTTCTTGTTGAATTGTTGTAGTTCGTGGAAATTTAGAAATCCGCCCTCCGTTTTTACGATTTCATTGTTTTTGTGTCGCTTTGGTTGATCTGTTTGTTTGAAAATGGTCGGAGGAAGCAGGAGGGACGAGGGTTCTTTGGTTATCAACAACACTAATGTTTTTGCAGCCCTCGAGACTCTCAGGAAGAAGAAGAAGTCTGACAAGGAACGCAAGAATAAAGGGTCGTCTAAGTCCCAGTCGGCTCAGGCTAAGGAACTTGAACCTCAGGTTTTTTGGGCACCAGCTCCATTGACTTCCAAATCATGGGCTGATGTTGATGATGAAGATGATGACGATTATTATGCCACGACTGCTCCTCCTCAGGCTGTGTGGGGCTCTTCGGATGCTCATGGGAGCAAGGAGAAGCTGGGCAATGTAGAGGTGGAGAATTCTTTAATTCTTGCGCACCCTTCTGATAAATGCTGACGTGTCTGAATTTTATTAGCTTATTTGCATCCATGTTATTCCTTCGTTTGTTGGCTAGTTTAGATGACTAATTTGCAGCTCCTCTGAGTGTCTATGCATGCATGTTGAATTTGATTGAGTTGGTTTGCTGATCGTAATATTATTCTAGTGTCATAATATGTCTTGGAGATTATGCTACTAAGAGTATGGGATAATAGGATTGCTTTATATAGTGATTGTCATTATTTTATAGCAATGTTTTTGTTTGTTGAGCCTTGAAAGTTGTTTACATATTAGTATATACGGAGGACAGGCATAGCATGCGATCTTGTTGAATAAAATGTGTGAGAAATGTGCTTGTAGGAATGCCCATACTTTTTTTTTATTGCTGTGGCAACCCGTCTAACTACGACTATGTCGGGTTGCAGGAGAGTGAGAGTGATGATGACATCCTGGATGAAGTTGATTATGATCTTGAAGATGAGCATGAGCATGATCACGATCACGAGAATGAGCATGAACCAGAGGTACCTGTGCATCCTGAGCCAGCTGTGAAGAACGCTCCTGAAGCCTCTGTGGCACCAAAGGAGGCTGAGAGGCAACTTTCCAAAAAGGAAAGGAAGAAGAAAGAGCTTGCTGAACTTGATGCCCTTCTGGCTGATTTTGGAGTAAGCCAGAAAGACAGCAACGGTCAAGATGAGTCACGTGGTAATATGTTTTTTAGTTGTTTCAAACGTTATGCTGTATTGTTTTTTCTTCCTTCCTATTTGTCTTTCTATGTTTATCTATCTAAAAGTTCATAGCCCTACTCGACTAGCTCAACTAGCTCTTGTGAAAGTTTTGTTTCAAATGGAAACAAGAATGAGAAGATATGGGTATGGAACCCTACAAATATCTCAACCAAGTTGTGGTGTTGTTAACACCTTGTTTGTCTACCATTGACAGCTAGCTGCTGAATATGTACCGATTGCGAATTTGTGCCAATGTGTTAGATGGTTGTGACTGTCCTGCTTTGGTCTTCTTCAGTCTTGTTATAATTATTCAACCACTCTACTTCTTACAATGGATTAAGGAGGTTGCAAGACCATGTCTGAAAAGTTTTTGTTTTTTGTTTTATCTGGCATTTTTTAGATGTACAAGAAAAGAGAGAAGGAGAATCCAATGGAGATGGGGAAAAAAAGGAAAATGCCCCTTCAGAGTCCAAAAGTGCCAAGAAGAAGAAGAAGAAGGAAAAGAAGGAGATTAAAGACCAGGATCAGCGAAACAATTCCGATGTTAACACCGGACCAGATGAACCTGCTGGCAATGGTAATGCCGAGGAAGACGCTTCGGCAGTCGATGTTAAGGAGCGGCTTAAGAAGGTAACATCCACGAAGAAGAAGAAATCTAGCAAAGAGATGGACTCTTCTTCCAAAGCTGCTGCTCTTGAGGCTGCTGCAAGGAGTGCAAGACTTGCAGCCGCCAAAAAGAAAGATAAGAACCATTACAACCAACAGCCTGTGCGGTAAAAAAGTGCTATTGTTTTTTTCCTTGCGTCTATAACTGGACATATCTTTCTCATTGTTTGTACAAGCAATGCAGAATAATCTCTCTGGGCTCTCAAATCTTGTTTTGTGGACAGTGGCATTAGTTGTATTAAAATGGATTCCGGGAATTTCACTTCTTTTTTTTTCCTTTCTAGATCCCTTGTGTCTGATCATGTCTTTTCTTGTTTACTTTTAAAAATTTCACTATGTAGGTTCAGCTTGTAGTTGTATTTACGAGTCTATCTCCCGCTCGTGTAGATTCTAGAACTATGTTTTCTGAAATTGATTGCTTGAATTTGTTCAAGGTTCTGGGTATGCTATGATCTTGTTCTTAAGGTGCCTAGTCAAGAATTATCCAACATAGGAAGGTGGTGGGAGGTTATAAATCATTTTTTTTTAGTAAGTCAGCTACTTTATAACGTTCATCAAAGTGTTTGTGTTGTTCAGCATAATGAACTGTTTTTAGGTAACATGCATCAACCGAGAGGACAGCTAGAGGCTCAAAATCATGGGCTGCTGCCTGTCTTCTTGTTAAATGCCACACCAATGGTACGAAAACTATGCCTTGCAGGATATGAATAAATAGTTTCTAAATTTTGGCATTGCTTCTCATGTGATAAGGTTAGTGCTATATTATATTAGGTAGGTTGAAGAAAATTACATAGCTTATCCATGTTTTCCTCGAGGTCGCAATTCAACTCTTATTGTGTATTTGTCATGCATTGTTTTTTCTTGAGCTCAAACGTTTAAATCTTCTTTTTATGCTATGAATTATTGGATAAGATGTGCTAACACAAAAATAAAATTAAACGATTTGTTATCGTTGGCTCAATTTGTTGGTTGTGTTTATGTGGTAGTTGTCCTGAATCGTTACATGAATCCTTTATGTTTGTTTATGGTAGTTGTCTTGAATCGTTACATGAATCCTTTATATTTGTTTATCATGAATGTCGTATAATAAAGATACATGAATCCTTTATGTTTGTTTATCATGAATGTCGTATAACAAAGATAGTACTTATGTTGTGGAATATAGTATGCTTGAGAGTTGGGACGTACAAAGATTGAGCAATAAATTGACGTTTTGTGCTCTTTACGTAAACTTTTTTTTTTGTTTACTTCAATAGCACGGGTTAAGTAATAGTCATAATCGATCTTTTAGTTGATATATTCTTTACTTAGTGGGTAAGTTTTAGTTGATATATTCTTTACTCAGCAGATTTAGGATGTTAATATTATTTCCCAAAATAAAATTCCCAAAATAAAAAATGGAATTGTTTAAAAGTAGTTGAAGGTTAATTTGACTTGGTTTATTGGTGGAATAATGGTGGATTGGATGTATTATACTCAATTAATTATTATTGATATTTTATTAAATCAATTTAATTATTTACTTGATTTTGACCATTAATTTTGAATTATATGCTAAATTATAAACTTAGCTTCGGGCGTGTGGTTTGTATTCAATATGAAAATGTTTTAACAAACTATATATTTAATAGTGGATTGAATTTCAAAATTTATCTAATAAATTTATAAACATTCCCTCTTTTCCACATATTTATTCGAATTTAAAATTATTTATTATGACGTAATAAATACAAACATTCATATTTAAAGACTTATTAAATATTTAAAAATTAATTTGACATTTTTAATTGGTTGAATGAACTCATCTAAATATGATCTTAATTGGTCAGCCACAAATTCAACTATTTGGGAGTTGAGCTATGATGCTATTTGCAACCGTCCAAATTCACTAATAATAGATATTGCTCGTTTTGCCATTAGATCTACTTAAAACGTATGTTAAAACATTTTCACTTTTATAAGTAATGACTTTAAAACACGTTTGTTAGAGAGGAAAGAAGAGCAATAAATTGTAATGACCCAATCCAACGCTAGTAGATATTGTCCTTTTCAACCTTAAAACACGTTTCTTAGAGAGGAAAGAAGAGCAATACGACTCAGGCCCACCGATAGTAGATATTGTCTAGTAGATATTGTCCTTTTCAACCTTAAAACACGTTTGTTAGAGAGGAAAGAAGAGCAATACGACTCAGGCCCACCGATAGTAGATATTGTCTGCTCTTTTATAATTAATGACTTTAAAACGATCTAGACCTACCGCTAGTAGATATTATCATTTTTAGGCTTTCCATTTCCAACTTCTCTTCGAAATTTAAAATACTTCTACCAAAGAGAAGATTTCTACCCGTATAAAGGGGTTTGTTCTCTTACTCAATTAATTAACACATAAATTTAAATTAATAAGAGAGGCTAAATTTTTTTTGAAGCTTTCTATAAATACCCAACAGCGCTCCAAAAATGGATTCCCGGGCTGTGATGTGAGCTTAAGAGAACCTCGCGGCTCAAAGTGACGTAAAAGTTCTCTCTATGTACACGCAAAGGCAAAAGCGCTGCTGAAAGAGCTTACACTTCACCAATAAGTTTCGTATCTCCCGCCTTGATTAGTTTCTTCTCCAACTTTCTCATGAATGCTCTATCAATCGATGCAGGTTTATCTCATACCGATTCCCCTGTGTTCTTTTTTTTTTTTTTTTGTTTCTAAGCAATGCAGTTAGGCGCATATGTTCGACTGGAAATTGACAGCGTTTTGAGCTGATTGATTTGGTTGCTTTTGTTGGATGATGAAAGTCCCACATCGGTTAATTTAGGGAATGATCATGGGTTTATAATGTAAGAATACACTCTCCATTGGTATGAGGCCTTTTGGGGAAGCCCAAAGCAAAGCCATGAGAGCTTACGCTCAAAGTGGACAATATCATACCATTGTGGAGAGTCGTGTTCGTCTAACAGCTTTCTTGTTTTATTTTGTTTTAGTTTTAATTTTTATTATTTGTCCAATGTGAAGTTTAGCATTTCGAGCTACCTCGGTTTCTGATTCTCGTGTTGGGTCGAATCGTTTTTGTTGCTTGTTTTGGTGCTCTTGTTTGTTTGATGAAACGTAAATAGCTCGGTTCATGTTGAAGTTGGCGGATGATCGGTTCTATTCTATGCCTGAGTTCTTGCTGATAGTTCGAATTGTCAGGGAACTTAGACATGCTTCTTGGTCCTCCATGGATGAATCATTTTTGGTTTGAGCAAGACGAGGAGGATAATGAATGTGAAATATCATTCTTCTTTTTTTGGGACTCCGCTCCATAGCTCATTGCATTATGTAAACAATGGAAAGTTTATTTATTTGCGTCGAAGCCGATTGTTGAAATGGGACTCTAAGAAGTACACATGTGCAAAGAAAAATGATTGGGATGCTCGAGTAGATGGATTTTCGCGTTTTTGTGTGCAGCATTTGAAGTCATTGAGTATGAAGCTTGGGACAAGATACGAGTCTTTGATGAAATGTGCCAACGAGCCTTTTGTTCTAACAAAAACTCTATCGAGTTTCTTGCGTCCTGTGTGGAACGAGGGGTTGTTTTTGATTAGATGTTCTGCTTTTGTTGCAGTTGTATCTGGTATATGCTTACTGGTTTGGTATGGGCAGACAAAAGCCAAGGGTTTTGTTGAAGCTAAACTTCTTCCTTTTGTTTGCAAAGCAGTCAGTGACCATATTCAGCGTGATCTTGATTTTGGAAAGGTTACAAGTATTTCACCCTTGAGCATCACACTAAAGTCATGTTTGGTTGGTCCAGATGGTGACGAATTCTCTTGCGGTGAAGTTCCCACCATGAAGATTCGTGTTTTACCTTTTACCAGTCTGAGAAGAGGGAGGGTAATAATTGATGTGGTATTGTCTCATCCAATTGTGCTAGTTGTGCAGAAGAGAGATTATACTTGGTTGGGGCTACCCTTTCCATCTGAAGGGACCTTGCCGACGCATTCTTCTTCTGAAGGAGGTATTGACAGTCGTACTAAAATAAGAAGAATTGCCAGGGAAGATGCAGCTGCTCGCTGGTCCAAAGATAGGCATGATGCGGCTAGGGAAGCAGCTGAGGTGGGATTTGTTGTTTCTGACAGGAGTCCAGGTTCGTATGATAGTAGTGCTTCGAAGGAGGATATACGTCCTACGGTAGATGTTGAAAACTCTAAAACTTCTTTTCTCACGGACGAAAATGTTCATTTGAGAAAACATCACTGCATGGATACGGATGTGGAATACAAAATAAAGCATTCAAATACAGAGAAGTATTTTGATGTAAAAAACCCTGATATGAGGCTTAAATTCTTGTCTAGAGTAATGAAAGTGCCAATGAAAGGTCAATCAAAGAGGAAGGCAAGTGGAGACGATGTGTATATAAATAGTTCCACTGCCAAAAAGAGAATTCTTAGGCGCAGTACATTGGCAGCTCGGGGTTATTTCAAGGGTGCATCCGAGGGGAAGTTTGGTGAGCCTTCACAATTGCACAGGAGTTTCAATATTGTGAACCCTGATGCCTACTTGGTCAAAAGTGTGAACGAAACTGATGCTGACTCCTCCATCATGAATACTAATGTCCAGAATGGGAACCAAAGTTTAGATGCCAGATTGCATTCTATTAAAGAAGAAGGAGATATTGATATTCTGAACCATATAGATGATAAGAGTTCAACAATTACAGGTTTGGGCAATAAGGACAGAAGATCCTTTTCAGTTACTTCCGGCAGCCATGAATCTAGTGTGAAAAAGGATGATGTTATAGGATCTGATCATATTTCTGAAGGAACATCTGATCAAATGTGTCATACATTTCAAACACCAACTTCAACCATTTATGAACATCAGCATGGAACAACTTGGCCAATTTCCTTCTCGGCACTAAACCAAAAATCAGATTTATCTTATTTTCCTAAAGACGTGGGGAAGAAGCTGTTGTACCATCTAAGCACGTTCGTCCAAAACCTGAAATTTATCTTGGTTCAATATGCTAGAGGTGTTGTTGATGATGGAGATGTATGGAAGAATGAAGGTACTGAGACGATGCTTCCAGTAACGATTGATTCTGTTCATTTCAGAGGCGGGACACTTATGTTTCTTGCATATGGTGACAGAGAACCAAGGTAGAGTCTCCTTATTGTGTCTTTCTCAAAAGTAGTTTAGTCGAAAGGTGATTTTTTCTAAAAAGTTATTATTATTGTTTAAAAAATCTTTATACCGGAGAAAAACCAAAAAAGCCACAACTATAATTTTCTATATATAAATTTATTTATTTTACTTGTTAAGCGTTAGACCTGACTATCAACACTGGAATTGTTTATTGGATCTAAAAGTTATAGATGAGTTGGGACACCACCAACGTCCGCATTAGGAATGCTAGTAGCCAGTTTTATATGCTGAGTATTAGGAAAAAATAGGAAAAAATGCATGATGATGCTGCCGTTTCTTTTGGCTAGTTTCATTTTAAGATTTTCCAGTAGTTTGATAATGAACTGACTGAAACCATTTATATTAAGTGAAACGTTGGCAGGGAGCTTTTTTAACACATTAGTAGGATGCTTTGTACTGGGAATCAAAATCAATGTGGTTAAGTTGATGCACTCAATGATGTTAAATGAATGCTAACTCTATATGGACAAAGTATTTACAATTTTAAATACATGTATCCAGAGAGATTGAGAATGTTAATGGACATGTGAAATTTCAAAATCATTATGGCAACGTGCGTGTTCATTTGAGTGGTAATTGTAAGACATGGAGAGAAATTGTCTCTGGAGATGGTGGCTGGTTATCTGCGGATGTTTTTGTTGATACCTTTGAGCAGCAATGGCATTCAAATTTGAAAATTACCAACCTATTTGTTCCGGTATGTTACTTTAGCAATAACTATCTATATTAACTGTTGAGGTTTAGAAGTCTGCATCTACATGATATGAAGTGTTTACTCATCATGGGTTCCCTTTTTCATCTTTGTGCAGCTTTTTGAGAGAATTTTAGATATTCCAATCACGTGGTCCAAAGGAAGAGCCACTGGTGAGGTGTTTCTCTAACTTCCTGTCTCTCACATCAACCTTTTACACTTTTTAAAAAGATTATTATAATTTTGAAATCATGATTAAACAGTATATATTAGCCTACCAGTAACTTTTTTTTTTTTTTTTTTTAACCAAGAACCAACATTTTCATTAAAGTAATGAAAATAAATTAATGCTAAAAAATTCAAGCTCAGAAAGGGAAAAAAGAAAAAGAACATGAAAACTTAGTAAGAAATGATTTAAAGCATAGAAATTTTGATCAATATTTAAACAAAAATTGATACAATAAAAATGCATTTATTTTATGTTGACTGCTATCAAATTTTTTTTTTAAAAATCTTGTGAGTCTGTTTTCAGGTTCACTTGTGCATGTCAAGAGGAGATACGTTTCCTAATTTTCAAGGGCAACTTGATGTGACAGGGTTGGCCTTTAAGATCTCTGGTGCTCCATCAAGCTTTACCGTAAGTCTGACATTGTCAGTGTACTGTGATACCCTCCATTTCAAACGGATAAGTTCTCTGCTATATCAATAGAAATTTATGTTTGTTGCAATATTTCTGCTTTTTGTGGTTTATAGGGGAATATGCTGGTCGTGTATAGATGACTGTTCCTGTTCTTTTGACGTTAATTGGATACTTTGTGGTAGGGGTTCTAAGGCGCTGGATGAAATTTCATCCAATATTTTATAAGATTAAAGAATGGGTGTCACGTTCTGACAGCGTGAGTGAAAGAGTTACCTCAAAGAACAACCCTTATACTTTATACTAAGTACTACATTTAAAATGATTCAAATTTATTAGAAATCAAGAGTGATAAATTGGAATAGGTAATAGAGTTACTAGTTACTTGATTGGAATAGGTAATAGAGTTACTAGTTACTTGATTGGAATAGGTAATAGGTAATTGAGCCACTTGTTTAATTACCTCCATATCTGACATAATTTTGTCCCAGCGACTAGTCCTTGAGATTGTAGGATACTTGAATAGACATACACACTTTCATCCATTACTTAGTTCTAATCGCACAATTTATGTGGTGAATACCCATGTATTAGAAGGATGAGCGTCAACGGACTTGTTGAACTCGTTTTTGCTCATTCTTCTCAAGTTTGTTCATTGACAAGTGGTGGTCCTTTGACTAATGAGGGCACAGTTTTAGTTGAGCAGTAACTTACCTTTACATTTTAGCTTGCCTCTAATGACCTTTGGGACTGTTAGAGGAGTTTGTTCAGGGTTAGCAGGGCACGCATTAGGGACGGACAATTGTTGATGTAGGAGGTGCTTCTGTATTCTCCCCTAGGGAAAGAGGGATTGTGTTGTGGTAGGTTAGCTTCTTCGCAGTGTCGTGGGATATTTGGCTTGAGAGAAACAATATGATTTTGAATGATAAAGAGAAGTCAGGTTAGAAGGCTTGAGAGGTTGTTATATTTAACACCTCCTTGTGGGTGTCGGTGACTAGGCCTTTTCGTAATTATTATTTGGTTTTATTCTTTTGGACTGGAGTCCCTTTTTGTAGTTATTTTTGAACTCTGCTTCTTTTATTATCTTTTGAGTGTGTTGAATACCGTTGTCTACTTTCCAAATTTCTTTCTTTATTTACTGTTGAAGCATGAAGCACTGCTTTCAATGTAGATGTTTTTATTTTTATTTTTATAATTTACTAAAATACTATCTAGTGCTTGGATGAAACATCCGGCTCATTGTGCCCTTAGCTATTCTCCAATGCTGACTTAGAACTATATTATCGTGGTTATTCATTCACTTATGCAGGAAATAGCGGCAAGTATATCTTTCCATGGTCAGAGAATATTTGTACAGAATGCAAGTGGTTGGTTAGGCAGTACTTCATTCGAGGCATCTGGTGACTTTGGGATTCATCCGGAGAAAGGAGAGTTTCGTTTGATATGTGAGGTATGTCTGTACTTGGGGGAAACGGTAGACAACTGTTTTGCCTTGTAATATATATCATCAAATGGATATTCCTTGCTGTTTAGATGTA